AAAAAAAAAAGAAAAACAAATGAAGAAAGTAAGCTAGAGTTGGGAAATCATTTTGTAACCATTAAGGTATAGGCTGGATCAGGCAGGAATTTTTGGAGTATGAGAAATTAGATATCTGCCTGGTCTATTAGTTGCAAAGGAGAAAATAAACTATACATTGGGCTTCTTTTTGGCGTACACTAAACCATATTAAAAATTATATAAGTTCCGGGAGAACATGGCAGACAGATAGCAGTAGCTACGGAGGCTCTCTGAAACACCCAGCTTAGAATCCAGGAATGGTGCTGAGTAAGGAATCATAAGCAAGAGGAGATATGCCCGGTGACCCAAGAACGAACTGGGCTGAGAGAAACCAACTTGGAATGCAATCCTGGTGCTATAACAGGAATAGATAAAGCCTCCACGTGGAAGCTGGAGCCCACGCCATTGGAAGCCGCGATTTGGGTTTCCAGCCGCGCAGCGGCTGCGTCTGCATCGGCGCAGCAGGGAGAGAGACATGCGGAAGCTCTGAACGGGATCCGTGAACGGAGTTCAGAGCGGGACGGGCAGGGAGCCATGCATCCACCTCCGGTGAGTGAGGGAAAACTGGGTCTCTTCCCTACGGTTTAGGAGACTCCAACAGAGGACATTCTAGGACCGGGCAGACTTGCGGGAACAGGGCGCTGCAGTGACTTCAGTCACCAATCCGCCTCTCAAGTGGGATTAGTGAGCAGTGCCTAGCCCACGTGACACTGCTGGCTGAGACCCAATAGGCTAGCACAGCCCAGGTCCCAGCTCCTGAAGGTGACCTGGAGGGGTGGGTCCCGCATAGGCTGTCTGGTCTGTAACTCCCTGGTGCGCTGCTGTGGGTGGGAACACCTAGCCGGCCCAATTCAATCAGACTGTGGCTGACAGGGAAGGAAGTTGGGCCTCCTATATACGCTTGCATATATAAGGAACAAAGAATATGGGAAGAGGCAGCAACAAGAAAGGGTCCTCGGCCCCTAATCCTGAGAAAGAAGCAACAGCAGACACAGCACCAACAGACATAAAGCGCTATCTTGAGAGCCTCATAGACAAGTTCAGGAATGAAGTTATTAATGACCTGAAGCTAGACATAAGCAGAATAGTTAGAGAAATGCTAAGCACCACCCAAGAAAAAAACAGATGGTGGAATGGAAGAACAGAAAAAAAGGGAAGAATTGTTTAATAGAGAAAATAGAGAAAGCATAGAATACGTGAAGCAGGTTCAAAGAGATTACCAGGAAACTAAAAAGTCTATTGAAAACTGGCATAACAGCTTGAAAGAAACTAAGGACAGATTATCTGAACTGGAGGGCAGATTTGTAATATGGGAGCATGAAATGAAAAACTTCTTAAAAATAACAAAGAAACACACAGCAACAATACAAAGGCTAGAAGATGATAAGAGGATCTATAACTTAAGAATTAAGAACATAAAAGAAGAAGTAGGGACACAAACAAATGGACTACGAAAGCTATTCACAGAAATAATCCAAGAGAATTTCCCTAAATTTAGCAAAAGGTAAAGATACTCAGATGTATGAGGCATACAAGACCCCAGCCACCTACAACCCAAACAGAGCAACACCCAGGCATATAATAATCAAAATTCCAGAAATCCAATATAAGAACTGAATATTAAAAGCCGTCAGAGACAAGAAACAGATCACTTACAAGGGAACACCCATCAGAATTATAGCAGACTTCTTGGCACAAACCATCAAATCACGAAGAGCGTGGGGGAAATAATTTAAGCTTTGAAAGATAATAACCTCCAGCCAAGATTGATATATCCTGCACAACTGTCCTGGAAATTGATGGAAAAACAAGGTGCTTCCAGGATAAAGATGTATTGTATTCTTCTGTCTCCATCGGTCTTAACAGGTTGTATCTTATTGGATTTTATTATATGTGATAGTATAAGCAAAAACTTTTATAGACAAGGAGATTATACAGAAACCATTGTTCATTTTCTGTTAGCTGGTTCTAAATACCCTGTAATAATGCAATTATCTTGAATGGTTTTACAGTGTCTTGATATGTTTGGTGCTACAGTATACGAAGTTATAGTCAAAGATTTCAAGGAAAGAGTCACTATGGTAACTACTTTTATGTCAGGATATCTTTTTTTATTTAAGGAGAAAAAGAAAAAAACAGAAAAAGGGTACAAGTAATACAAAATTTAAAAAATAAGCAGTAAGAAATCACTAATAGATTACATATTCTCATCTTAGAAATAGCTGTTCAAATTACAAAATTGAAGCATATAAAGTAGACTTTCAAACAGTGAGATACTAAACAAGATGATACTAAATACTTTCAAAACAAGATGATACTAAATCAGCACTAGCTATTATGATGTCTTGTTTTCTCTAAAATAGCTGTTCCTACCATCCGACCTTCTCTGCCTCATTTCTGTTGAGCTCTTTTTCTGTCGTTAGTTGTCAGTTTGTCTTCTTCATTTCACTTTCTGCTCCATTCATTGTGGCCTCTCTGCCACTGTTTCTGGAGTCTTGGTATTTTCCTTTTTTAGAATATTCTGCAGTATTGTCTGTAGAGTTGAATTGGTGGTTGCAAATTCCCCTAGTTCCTCTTTTTCCTTTTTATCGGTACCAGAAATCGAACTCATGACTGCCTGCTTGCGAGGCAGGCGCTTATGCCCCTGAGCTAAGTCCCCAACCCCTTTTTCTTTGTTTTTTTTTTTTTTTTTGTATCCTTAGTTTCTTTCAAGCTGGTATGCCAGCTTTCAATAGAGTTTTTAGTTTCCTGGTAATCTCTTTGAACCTACTTCACGTACTCTATGTTTTCTCTTATTTTCTCCATCAAACAATTCTCCCCTATTTTTCTGTTCTTCCATTCCACCATCTGTTTTTTCTTGTGCGGTACTTAGCATTTCTCTAACTATTATACTTATATCTTGCTTTAGGTTGTTAATAACTTCATTCCTGAACTCGTCTATGAGGCTCTGGAGATAGCGCTTTATGTCTATTGGTGCCGTGTCTGATATTGCATGTTTCTCAGGATTGGGGGCCGAGGACCCTTTCTTGTTGCTCCCTCTTCCCATATTTTTTTGTTCCTTTTATACAAGCGAATATAGGAGGCCAAGTTTCTTTCTTTGTTGGTTACAGTTTGTTTGAATTGCGCCAGCTAGGTGTTCCCACCCACTGCAGTGTACTAGGGAGACACAGACCTGGGAAGCCTATGCTGGGCCCGCCCCTCCAGGTCAACCTACTGAAGGCTTCACTGCTAGGGTGCACCTCCAGGCGCTGGGATCTGGTTTGGGCTAGCCTACTGGGTCTTAGTCAGCGGCATCACGCAGGCCAGGCACTCGCCACCAATCCCACTTGAGAGGGGAATATGTGACTGAAGTCACTGCAACAACCTGTTCCAGCTAGTCTGCCCGGTCCCACCATGTCCCTTGCTGAAGCCTCCTACTCTATGGAAGGGTCCCCGATCTGCTCACTCACCAAAAGTTGATGCAGGGCTCCTGGCCAGTCCTGCTCTCAACTCCACTCACAGCTTCCCACTCTCAGAGCTTTCGTGCCTCCCTCCTTGCCGCACTGATTGGGACGCAGCAGCAGCTGCAGGAAATTCAAATCGCAGCTTCCAGTAGCATGGGGTCCAGTTTCCACACTGAGACCTTATTTGTTCCTGTTATGTCACCAGGATTGCGTTTCCAGTTGGTTTCTCTTAGTTTAGTTCGTTCCTGGGTCAGCAAAGTATATCATCGCTCGCTTAGGATTTCTCACCCCGCAACATTCCTGGATTTTAAGTGTGGTTTCTCAGAGAGCCTCTGAAGCTGCTGCTGTCTATCCGCCATGTTCTCCCGGAAGTCCCCATGTCAGGATATCTTGATGTGAAACACTATTTTGCTTAAATGGTTATGTTTTGACCTGCGCTGTTCTGTTGTTATGCCCTCTTTTATCTCAATCCCCCCCTTTTTTTAAAATTACTTTTTTATTATCTTTTTAATTAAGGGAAAAATAAATAAAAAATAGCAAGATACATTATAGTAACCTATTTTGATTTCTTATTAACTTGATTTGAAACCCTGTATTGCCCTCACCATCTTGTTTTGACTGATTTTCCCTTATTCTGCTTTCCTTGATAGTACCAAGTTCGAAAGTATAGGCAACAACTGTGAAGACAATAAGATTCATTATGACACCCATTCTGGTTGACTATTATCTTGTTTTAAAGTCCTGTAATGTCTCCAGTGTTTTGGTTTTAGTCTTTATTGTTTTGTTCAATTTTATTATAACTGATGATTTAGGCAATTCTTCTTAAAATAGTAAGAGGCAGTATGGTAACCATTGTTGATCACCTTGTATTTTGTTTTTACATTATCTATTATGTCCATCCTTTTGATTTGACTGACTCTGTTCTGATATGTCGCATTTGGTTTTACTCTCTTCAAAAAAAGTAATAAGAACTGTGGGAGTAATATGACCCACAATGTATAATTGTCATTGTACAAAAGAAAAGAAAAGAAGGTGCTCTAAAGGTTATACCTGCATATATGTTTGAGTGTGTAGGATAGATAACCATATTACTGAGTTTTTTTTGGATCACTGAACAAAACTGTTTGCACTTTCACTGTTTGAAAGTCCACTTTATATGCTTTAATTTTGTAACTTGAACAACTATTTCTAAGATGAGAACATGTAATCTATTAACTAGTGATTTCTTACTGTTTATTTTTTAAATTTTGTATTACTTGTACACTTTTTTTCTCCTTAAATAAAAAAAATTATATAAACAATCAAATGATAAACATGGCAAAACTTGCTCTTCTGCTCTCAGTGAGTGTCACACATTAACTTCTTTAAGTCTGGATATCTGCAATCTCAAATAATTCCTTACCACCACCAAAATAATATACTGTAAGGATCCTAAGCAGTCTCAAGGCTATTGAAAAAAAATGTAACAATGAAAGGTAGCAGTGGGAAAGCAAAGGATTGGATAAAAAAATACTCAGCATACAATAAGGTTGTTACCTGAGTGCACTATTGCTGAATGAAGATGTTCGTTCAAAGCCATATTTCCAATGACACGCATTATACTTCTCTGGATTTTAGGGTAGTCCTTGTGTAGTTGGTACAGCCTCTGAAGTAGTTGCAAGCCGCCATTTGCTTCAATGCTATCACTGTGTGTGGGTATCTAGCATAATAAATTAATGAAAGCTTGCTTTACGTTGCACAATTCACTATACAAGATAACACAGCATGCTTTGGGGACAACCAGGTGGCTCCTGCTCTAGAACAGACAGGCAAACAGACTCCTCAAAATTCTTGTCTCAATTTACTTAAATAAACACACTCCTGTCTCTGTAGGAAGTACTTCAAAATTTGTGATTACAACAGAAAAAATTCCACAATGCCAAAAAATGTAAAAATCACTGGTATATGCTATAGTTGTATTTCAAGTGCACATAGAGGGATGGTGCAACTTTCAGAGCTTTCAATGATACAAAGAGCCTGCAGCAGCACAAGTGCAACAGGTTTGCCACCACAGGTATGTAATTATCTAATACTTCCTTTTTCCCTATCTTTCACATTTTTTGGCAGATATTTTAATGGAAATTAACTATCTGGTAGTATATGTAAAAATAGATCTGAGAAAAGTAGTAGAAGAAAAAGTAGCTGAAAAGTGAATGCTGTATTTAAACAATGGGTTTTTTTTAATTCTAAAAATAAGGATTTTTAGAAATAATTAGCAAAACTAAAGCTTATGAATTTTTACTAAATCATGATTATCTTTTTTTTTTTTTTTTTTTTTTTGAGATAGGGTCTCTATGCAGTTCAGGCTGGCCTTGAGCTCACTCTGTAGCCCAGGCTGGTCTCGAACTTGCAACAATCATCCTGCCTCAGCCTCCCCAGTGCTGATGATTATCATTTCTAACAAATGAAATGGGAAAGAAAGAAGAAATTTTAAAATAAGTGAAAAGCCTTTAATTTTTTATAATAAAGAAGTACTAGCTTTCTTGTATGAACCAACATATAGAATTTATTTCAACCTAACTATCCAAAGTAAACCACAAGTTTAATGTACAAATTACCTCAGAATGCTTTATTATAGCTTCCAAACCAAACATTTCCATTGTAGCTGACGGAACTTCTCCAAAACTCTCAGCATAAGGAAGTCCATTTCCTCCAAAACACCATAAGCCACCCTGAAATTAAGATAATTAAATTTTACTGAAAAATAACATTTCTGTGCTATATACAGTATTAGAAAGTTCTAATAAGCATGGATCTCAAAATACTTTAGAAACTTATAGGAAACTGTATGCCAACTTATTCGAAACTGTATGATGTTTATTAGAAAATACATGAATTATCAGAACAGAACAATCTTTGCATCTTTCTCCATTTTTTCTTCTGTATCTTATTGAAAAGGATAAAGAACAACACACAATTGTTTACTAAGTAAGAAAAGACTGGAGCTGATAATAATGTTCCAATGTTCTCTCTTTCAGTCACTAGTAATTTGTACAATATATGATTTCCAGATTATACCAACAGGGTCTCCTACAAGCCTAATAATCAAAAAAAAAAATTTTAAAGTAGTATGAGATAAATCAAAGACCACGAAAATAATGATTACTGAGTTTTCAATTCTTCCCAAGGTGAAATTCAAGTTCATACAGAATAATAAGAAAGAATAGCTAGGAAATTTTTCAAATAGAAAAGTAGTATAGATTATTCCTAAAAGAAATTAGAACACAGTATAAAGAATAAAATGGGGGAAATTTTTCCAATTCTTTCACAGATCAAGTGTTAATACCAGTACACAAAAGTATTTCCTAAATCAGTGTAAAACATACCAACAATGCTATAGAAATATGAACCACCACCATGCAGAGCATGGTGGCACAAGCTTGTAATCCAGCACTCAGCAGGCTGAGGCAGGAGGATCATCACTAGTTTGAGGCCAGCAGAGGCTATATAGTGAGTTCAAGGTCAGCCTGAACTACAGAATGACACCCTATCTCAAGAATTGAAAGAAAGGAAGAGAAAAAAAGACAGACAAAAAGAATGAGTGAAAGGAAAGAGGGAGAAATATAAGCAATAGTTATAAATAAAAGGTTCATGCAAAACAAAAATGCCTCTAAAATGTCAAATAATGTTTACTATTGTTCACCATGACAGCCATGTACACTGACTGAAAAACTACACTTTCATCAGATGGGTGAAGTTCCTAAAGGGTGGAAGATGACATTACTTGCTCCTGGTAATATCATTGGTAACAACAATGGCACAACTGTGGAGGACACCTGGACATCAGCTACCAGAAATACAAGTGCTCTTGCCCGTTAACAATTCATCCTATGGCAATACACACTGGAAAGTCTGTTTCTACAGTACTGTTTTTTAAAAGAATAACAATCTAAAACCCATCCTTAGGGGTTTGGTTACATAATTATGGTTCAGGTATAAAAATTTATGAGACTCTTCACATATAGTAATACACAACTGCTCCAAGAAAAACCTTAATGAAAAAAAGGTGGCACTGAACAATGTATCATGTATTACCATTTGTGTAAAAGATCATGTGTCTATGTGTGCGATATGTGCGCACGCGCGCGTGTGTGTGTGTGTGTGTGTGTGTGTGTGTGTGTGTGTGCGCGCGCGCGCGCGTGCATGCATGAGCTACTGGGAAGTGAACCCTTTGCATTGAGCTACTAGCTCTTTTATTTTCATTTTAATTTTTATTTATTTCTTTATTTTTGGTACAGGGGATTGAATTTAGGACCTTGTGCTTGCCAAGTAGGCATTTGTGCCACTGAGCTAAACCTCCAGCCCTCATTTTTATTTTTAGATACCAAGTTACTAAGTAGCTAAGGCTGAATTCTAATTTATGATCCTCCTACCTCAGCTTCCCTGAGTTCTATGATTAAAGTCTGTGTCACCATGGCTAGGTCCCAGCCCTTTCTAAATTCTGAGACAAGGTCTTGCTAAAACACTAACTTGCCTGCACTGAGCTTTAATTTATGACTCACGTGCCTCAGTTTCTCAGACTGCTAGTATTACAGGTGTGCATATGCACCACCACTCCTAACAAGTCTAGTGATCTCTGTTTGAAATAATGTTCATAAGGTTCTGCATCCTGAGTTAAGTTTATGAGGTTCAGGGCTCAGTAGACTAATTAAATACTGAAAGAATTTTAAGGACATTTTACAATTTTTATTCATGCTTTCTCCAAAATAGTATTTGTTTTCCAAGTTTAAAAATTCCAAAGATTCACATTATTTAAGCTGAGAACTGTGAAGAAACCAACTCACTGAAAGCTATTTTCTTCAGTGAGGATGGGTAGATTCTATGCTTAAGTTCATTAACAAGATGGATCAATGGCCTAGCATGCACAAAGTCCTGAGTTCAATCTCCAGCACTAACAGGGAAAAAGAAGATTTACGACCACAACCTGGTTCCCTAAAACCCCTCTTATTGAATCATTTAACTTCTTTTTACATTAAATGTCCCAAAGAAAGAAAGGGGACGGGGCTGGGGATTTAGCTCAGCGGCATAAGCACCTGCCTTGCAAGCAGGCAGTCGTGAGTTCGATCCCTGGTACCGGTAAAAATGAAAAAGACCAAAAAAAAAAAAAAAAAAAAAAAAAAAAAAAAAAAAAAAAAAAAAAAAGAAAGAAAGGGGACACAACAAAAATGACCTAGGATTTTAGTTTTTCTTGATTACTTTGTGTAGTATGAAATAATATAGTCCCACGTCAATTGGTGTTGCTGGCAAAGCTTGTTAAGGTATTTATGAACTGGCAGATTATGCAGTTAGTACAAGAAAAAAAGGAGTAAGTACAAAAATACTCACTCAGGGTATGGTGCCCTAGGTTGTATTCTTACCCAAAATATGAAAATAAGTAGACATATTCACTGCCGCTTTATCACTGGACAGAGATATACAAGACTAAATTCATAAAGCTGGGCATGGTAGCACATGCCTGTAATCTCAGCACTCAGGAGGTTGAGGCAGGAGGATCACAGTGAGTTTGAGGCCAATCTGAGCCACACAGTGAGTTCAAGGTCAGCCTGAACTACACAGTGAGACCTTATCTCAAAAATAGATTAAAGATTTAAGATATGCTACATGTCGAGTTTCACAAAGGAAATGAAAAAACAATTTCTTAAGGGTTATGGAAATGAAAAAGTAGAGAGGGTTGATACAAAAGGGCAAAAATAAAAATTGAAAAGCAACAACAGTAAGCTGTAAGAGAAAATGTCAACCAGGTAAGTTACTAAAGAATTTCTATCCATATTAGATTAATTATAGGTAATGCTATCAAACACTATATATAAATATTTTAAATTATAATTCTCAAATTGAGTATATTTGAATTAACAAGGTATTAAGGTATTTCAACAAGTTTATACAGCCAAAATGATTTAATATATAATGGATATTTTCTTACCATATTATCTATATTAAGCATAATCCTCAGAGTTATCTCTATTGTTGTCTTTGGCACACAAAAATACTTTGATTCTATAAGTAAGTTGCAGTACACCAAAATGTAATCCACTATTCTGTGCAATTTATATGAACTTATAAAATTATTTTCAGATTCTATAAAAAAAAAAAACTAATATGATTGATAGCATCAATTTGGGATTATAGGCAACTACACTGAAGAAGACAAGACCCTACAATATACATTCTGGTTTGATAACTGCTAGTTTTTGAAGTTCTATGCTATATACAAAGTTGTGTTTTTATTAATACTATTATATATAGCCAGTTCTATTGAAGATAACAAGAGACAACACAGGAACTATGGTAGAAGTCCTTGCACAATGGTCTTATATGTCTTTTTTGTTTCATGTGTTTATAGGAATATGTTTTGTTCTGTCTTGCTTTGTTTCGTTTCTACCTCTAATATAGAAAGAACAGAAATACATGTTAAGACTCATGCATGTGTAGAATCTATAAACAGTTTATGAGAGCTGATCTTATGACACATGATGAAATGAACAGATACTTTGAGGAAAAAGAGTCACTAAAGAACCCAGTGCTGATTCTGGTGTGTCATAATGTGAAACCCAGCAATAGTATTATTCTCTGTTCAGAGTGATATTAGCCTGCTTGGGTTTTTTCTATCTCAACACAATTGAAGACATGGATAACTGCATGTATGACCATATTTCTAAGTTTTTATTGAACAGTTGAACAGAACTGTTTGCAGTCTCGCTGTTTGAATTCTCACTTTACATGTTCCATTTTTGTATCTTGAATAACTATTTGTAAAATGACAATATGTAAACATCAACCAGTGATTTCTTACTGTTTATTTTTTCTCTGAATGCATGTATTATTTCTACCTATTTTCTGTTTTGTTTAGTCTTTCTTTAAATAAAATTTTAAAAAAAATTTTGATTCACAACAGAAATATCCCAACTGTTATTTACTTAAGCCAAACATAAGTTTGTACATAGCTCTTTTAGGAACATTATGATTCATCCATTCATTTTTGGTAATTTGTTGTGGGATTCTTTATGAGGCACTGTACTCCATATTGAGAAAGTTATAAGCTATTGGAAGAGTGTAAGAACATCTTTTAAGTAAGCAAGCAAATAAACATACTGTAAAATTACACAAGAAGTATTGTTACAAAGGGCAATCTGCACAGTGAACACTGGAAATGAAGAGAAAGTTTGAAGAGTTTCCCAGGTAAGACTGGAAGGCAGGCAACCATGTGACAAGCTGAAGATACCAGGTCCAAGCACAGAGAATGTTATGTGGATACATACTTGGCAAGGAGAGAAAAGGCCATCCTGGCAGGAGCTCAGTGAGTGCAAGGAGAACAGAAGGGGACAGATCAATAAAGCAGGGGGAAAAAATGATGTCAGGCAAGCTGAAGCCGAGGCCTAGCAAAAGATGTGAAAAAAAAAAAAAAACTAGAAATGAGCTGAATTTGTTCTGCTTCTATTACTTCCACTTGAGAGCAGATTTACCAATAACCAAAGTTAAGGGGGAGGGATTTGGGAGTTTCAGGGCAACAGTGATGAGTTTGTTCCAACAGAAAGGATCTCTGATCTGCACAGGTAGCATCAGAAGCAGTGTACCTGGTGGAGAACCTGAGGGTCTGAGGAAGCCTGACCACCTATCAGAAAGCAAGTGTCTAGCCTCTTGCTCTGTGAAAGCACTGAAATCTTTGTGCAGGTTTCCCGTATTCTCTGGCATTTAAGAAATCTACCACACCTAAACCACTGGTTAGGTTTTGCTATCACAACACAATGTCATACTTATATGGAGATTGGTATCCAGGTGGTCTTCATGCTATGAATACCCACATCAGAAAAACAAAGAAGCCCCCAATAAGTAAATTAATGGTGCACCTCAAACCCCTAGAAAATCAAGAACAATGAAAATCCAAAACTAGTAAAGGGAGGAAATTACAAAGATCACAAAGAAATTAAGGAAATTGAGATTAAAAACACAACAGAACTGATAAATCAAACAGCTGGTTCAAAAGAATAAACAAAATAGACAAACCCTTAGTTGATCTTACCAACAAAAGCAAAGACCCATATCAATACAATTAGAAATGAAACGGCAGCTTAGCAGCATAAATGCCTGGTTGGCAAACGCGAGGTCTTGAGTTCAATCCCTAGTATACGCCACCACCACTAAAAAAGAAATGAAACGGGGGCTGGTGATATAGCTCAGTGGTACAGTGCCTGCCTGGCAAGCATGAGGTCATGAGTTTGAGTCCCAGTACTTCCTCCCCGCCAAAAAGAAATGAAACAGACAAAAATCACAGACACCACTCAAATCCAGAAGGGTATCAGTAACTATTGAAGCCACAGGCATAGGGAAGGATTTTCTCAACAGAACTTAAGAAATAATACCAAGGTCTGAGGATTTAGCTCAGTGACATAAGCAACTTCTTGGCAAGCACAAGGTCTAAGTTCCATCCCAGAACAAAAAAAAAAAAGAACAAATGGATACACATCACATTAAAACACTTTTGCACAGAAAAGAAATCAATAGTGAAGAGATGACCTACAGAATGGGAAAAACATTTTTGTTAGCTACTCCTCAGAGGACTAACATCTAGAGTATATCAGGAACTCAAAAAAATTAAGATCCCTGCAAAATAGAAGATCCAATAAAAAAATAGTCAATTAAAATATAGACCTCTTGTACTTCTCAGAGGAACAAACAGTTTTTTGTTGTTTTTTTTTTTTTGTGGCATCAGGGATCGAACTCACAACCCTGCACTTGCCAGGCAGGCGCTTATGCTGCTGAGCTAAATCCCTGGCCTGAATAATAAATATATGAAAAGATATTCAACATCTCTGACCATTAGAGAAATGCAAATTAAAACTACACTGAGATTCCATCTCCAGAAAGAATGGCTGAGATTCCAATTTCCAGAAAGAATGGCTATCATAAAGTATCAAGTAATGAAAGCTAACAAGGCTGCTGTGGACCAAGGCAGAAGAAATCCTAGTACAACCACTGCAAAATCAGTATGGAGATTCCTCTAATTCCAGTCAGCCCACTATTCCCCTTCCAAGTATCTTCTCAAAAGAATTAAAGACATCATGTTGCAGTGATAAATGTATATTCACGTTTTATAGCATTACAACTCATAGTAGATAAATCTCTCTCTCTCTCTTTTTTTTTTTTATCAGTACCGGGGATCAAACTCATGACCATGCACTTGCAAGGCAGGCACTTATGCCGCTGAGCTAAATCCCCAGCCCAGTAGCTAAATCTCAGAAGTCGTCTGTATGTTCATCAACAGATGAATAGATAAAGCAAATCTGGTACTTATATACAACGGAATTCTAGACTGCTATGCAGAATAAATGAGTAATTTGAGGAAAACCAATGCACTTAAGACCACAATCTTAAGTGAAATAAATCAGATATACATGGTTTCCCTTATATGAGAAAACTAAAATATAAAGAGTAAAATAAAAAATAACAGAAAGTAGGGAAATAGCTCTTTCCCTACTGCTCTCCTCAGATTCAGGGCAGGCCCCTGCAAACCCACAAGCTGCAGCCCCTTTGAACTGCTGTATGGCTGATCCTTTTTTTCCAGACCCCTGTACTATCCTTGAAACTGACCCCCTAGGAGGCTACCTTCCCAATCTCCAATTAGTCAGACAACAGATTCAAAAGGCAGCCAATCTCTCATCTTGCCTTCTCCCAACATCCAACCCTACAAAGATGACCTCATTGGCAGGTCAGTCCTATTGAAAATTTACACCCTCAACCCATAAAAGCTAAATGGACAAGGTCCCCATAGTCATCTATAGTACTCCACTACAGCCCAGCAGCAGCTATCAGAAAAAATGTCAGAGGGGCATGGAAAGATCTCTGATTGCTTCCAGGACTTATAAAGAGGTAAATTTTCTGGCCAGGGTAGCCTTCCAGAACCACAGAGCCCCAGGATCTACTCACCACAAAAATGGAGGGCCCCGGCATCTTCCTAAAGAGGAATACTGTTTCTATGTTAACAGGGCAGGTTTCATCCATTACAGTCCAAAGCCTCTAGGCCAAGCCACCAGGTTCAAAAACAGGCAAAGGGTGACTACTCCATGGGATGGAGGGGAGGCTTTACCAAACCAGGTAGATATCCTGGCTTCTCCCCATACTTGACCCCCTGTTCCCCATCTTTCTTCTGTTATTATTTGGACCCTGCATAGTAAGATGTATAAGAGATTTTCTCCAAGGATAGATTCAATCCACGACAGCCTGACAGTTCCTCCTGATGGCCCACTATGACCACTGTCCAACGAGAACCCCACACTGACCTGCGCCGAGGACACAATGTCATAAAGCTGTTGCCAGCCCTTCCCTTCTCCCCAATAATTTCTTCTTTTTTAGGATGCCCACAGTCCCCAGTCACACATGAAGAAGCCCCGAGAAACTTCATCTCTTACCCCTCTTCTCTTTCTATAACACAACAGACAGGAATGTCAGGTTTCCAAACTAGACCCTGGCCCAAAACTAACAGAAAAAAAACTCCCCAGCAGATCTGTTACTCACACCTGGGGGAGCACGGTGTTCAAAAGGAAGCCAGCAGCATCCCCATGCAGCTCAACCAGCTTGTAGCTGCCCCCACAGCTCAACCTGCAGAGAGGTAATTCCATGAAAAACCATGAGGCATACTGTGCCTGCTAGCACTCCCTATACCCAACACTGCCCTTCTATCACCTAGCCTCAGATCCCCTACTCAGAGACCCAAAATTTTGTACCCCCCTCATTGGCAATATCCACTCCCCTAACTAAATTCCCCTATTAAAAACATGTCTTCTCCCCTTGCACAGGGCCAACAGGTACCCAGTCTGCAATAAAGTCCTTACCCGCTGCTTCAACCATGCCTGCCTGTGGTCTCAGTTGTGCCTCAGTTTACCCTAACTGCCACTATAAAAAAAGACAGACACAAAGGAAGAGAAATTTATGAGGTATTCAGGAGAAACAATTCAAAAATTGCTTTGTAGGGAAAAATCTGTAATACATGATGTCAGCAACTCACACAGCAAGCAATCTGTTCAGCCTAATGTCAGATTGCTGAACACCATCAAAAGGCATGACCCATTACTGACTCTGTCCACGAAGAGGAATCACCACTACAAATAAGAACTGATGTCACCAAAAAAATGAAATAGTACAAGAATCTAAAAGAGACTTCTTAAATTATTAAGGGAAGTACAGAATAGAAGGCAAGATGAAAGAACAGGATACACTGGAGAAGTAGCAAGAGCCAAGAGCAGGACAGCAGGCAAACAAGTTCAAAATTTGTGTTCTGCAGGGTCACTTCAAGAGATGCTGCTAAGCTGCACATGCAAGGAAGAAACTGAGCATGATTCCTAGTCCTTAATGTACACTACTGGGTGGGAATCCTATGCCATTCACCGAGCAAAAGAGGAATAGTTTTACAGAGAGGGCAGGTTCAACCTGTTAAACTTGAGATTCCTGTCATACACCAAAGCTCAGATGCTAGTAGGAGGATGAATAATCAGATCCACAGCTTAAGAAAGAATACAAAGTTAAATGTATCAGTTGAGGCACTATTGGCATATACTTTCATGTATCGGTGATACTTGAAATGTATTCATTTCACTTATATGTATTCATTCTTTAAGATTCAATTTAAGTTTCTACTTTTGAAGTCATAAATGACCTGTAAACAGAGTTAAACACTCTTGAAGTGTCTTGTATTGCTTTTGCACACTCCTGTGACTATTTATCAGATACCAGATGGCCTACTTTTGGCACAGCAAAAAAACAGAAGTCAGTACATTCAGTTTCTTTTAAGGATCCAGCTGCTGGCCTCTGGACCCTTAGAAAGTGTAAGCTCTCAATAACATTTTCTGAATAAATAAATGGACAGACCTTCTGAGCTGCCAGACTCTGACTGCTTTCACTGAGAGCCAAGGATGTAAAATACTGGATACATTCATCTAGCTCTGTTTGAGGTAAAGAAGCCAGCAACTGTCTGAGTTCTTCGTCAGTGGAACAATCCTGAAATAAAAGGAAAAGCAAATATAAATAAACTTAACAATTGATTTACAATTAAAAAAATACTCAAAAGAATCAAAGCCAAAACATATGCATATCTAAGCGTGTACACAAGCATACACAGGTATTAGCAGAGATAAACTAGTGCTTTGAGTTTTGCAAACAGTCACCCTTTAGGAAAATAATCATTTAATTTTGAACTCTACTTTCATGTCTGCTACTGTATCTGAAAGACCTACAGCAAATTTTAACTCTCTACCCCTCCTAGGCTTCTTTACACCTTGACTCAAAATGAATCATTATACTCTTTAATCAAAGTTATTGTTTTCCAAATATAGAACTCATTACAATTTCATTTTCTCTGATAAAACTCATTACTGTGTCATTTTCTTTGATAACTAGTATCCCAGATATTCATTCTTCTATTTTTAAAAAACTGCTTATGTTAAAGTTTTAAGAATTTGATTTCCTAATCTAGGGGAGGTTCTCAAGAAACAACCTTCAAATCTGTAGTAATGGTTCTCAACTGGGGGCTAGTTTGCTCACCAAGAAATAACTAGCAATGTTTAAAGGCAGTTTCAAGTTGTTACAACTGTGGCTATTTTTAGCTTCTTGAGAATAGAGTATAGAGTGCTGCTAAGCATCCTGCAATACCCAAAAGAGAGTTTTCCATAGAATATTTGGCCCAAAACGTCAGTAAGAGTTAAAAGTTGAAAAAAACCTCATCTACAGCAAACTCAAGTATCGATTTGCTATCATAGGAAATTACTCAGTTACGGAGATTCCCAGTTCCCAAAGACAGAAAATAATGAGTGAGAAATAGCTCCTCCTAAGGAATCACATCTTTGCTTTGAAAAATGTAATTTCAGTTTTATAACCTAGTTTACTCACTTGTGAAAAGCAACCAACAATTGCTTTTTGAAAATTTCTTTTGCACCCAAATTTAAGAGACTATATTGAATTATTTTCCAGGGGAAATAAAAAGGGCTAAAATGCAATACGTACAATATAAAATGAATATATTAATCATGTATCAAAACATGTACTAAATAAATAAAAATAAACTTTTATACTTTGTGCATATGTTACTTACTTCTTTTAAAGGTGGCAAACGAGGTGGTGGAAGAAAAAAGCGAAGATCACTGTCTTTGCTTCGTGCCAAACCAATAAGAGTTCTTGGGTCACAGGCTTGAGCAACTGTCCTATACTGGTAATCTGGCGTAAAAATGTATTTTTTAATAAATACCTAAACTAGCTTATAATTGTTATAGGAATTAAATGAAAAAATTACTTGAAAAAAATTGTAATTTTTAAGCTGTTATACAATATAATCCCAAAATTTCCCATGTATTTTTTGACAAATTACAACTACATTTACAATATTTGAAATCTCAATACTCAAAATCTTTCTCAACATTTTCTGTGTCTGGGGACTGAGTCACAGTCTGATTTCCTGGAAACAATGAAGCGCAAATAATGAAAACTCCTAAGTCAGTTTCTGTTTAACAAGTTTATAAATAATCCTGGCATTCAAAAGCTGTTTCCCTCAATATTCAAAACACTAAAAGCTGCATTGAAGTTTAAGTCCAGTGGTGATGTTACAATGCTTTGGCATCTATGCTACCCATGAATATTTAGATAATGGTACTCTGATTTAAACATGCCATTCTTTATTTATCAAAAACAAATTCCAATTGTTGAAGCTGACACTGTTTTCCAAAAGGGCAGCTGATAACTTCAGGGACTACTTCAGGATCAAGTGGAGAACTGTTTCAAAATCCATATGCCAGGGATCTTCTGATTTTTCTGATTTAGTAAGGCTAGAATGGAGCCCTGGGAAGTCAGACAATTTTTTGGGGGGGAAGCAGGTTTTTTAAAAGATGTTTATTCTAAATCTGTAATTATACTATACTTGTAAGTTATTATAATTATCACTATTAACCAATGAAAGAACTTACATGGAGGCAAAAATCTTATTTTGATTTTTTCTTTGAGAATATTATTCTTTTCTATTTCTTACTTTTTACAAGATGGTTCTACTAAAAAATTACAGTTTGGTCAGTATGTACTACAATCAGACCACATTTGAGCTTATCCAAAGTTTTATTGAAAAATCTGTGGTTTAAAAATGCAATTAAGGGGCTGGAGATTTAGCTCAGCGGCATAAGTGCCTGCCCTGCAAGCAGGCAGTCGTGAGTTCGATCCCTGGTATCGATAAAAAGGAAAAAGACAAAACAAACAAACAAACAAAAATAAAAATGCAATTAAATATTTTATAATTTCTAAAAAGTATAAATACACAAACAGGGTAAACTTAGCTAATTATTAGAGTCAAATTGACTGTCAAAGTGAAAGGAAATAAATTGTATAGCACACCAAGCAATTAAAAAATACATGAGTATCTTGGTTTACGTATTTATGATTTTGAGAAAGATGGCTGTGGTTATGATTGCATGGAGAAGACACCTATGGTTATTTTTGTCACCAGATAGAGTTTGCAAACAGAAGCAAAATTTTCCTAAACACTTTTGTTTAGAAACCAAACTACAAAAAGAAGCATTCATGAACCAAGGTATTATTCTACTTAAGTAGGAACCAAAAGAAAATGCAAGCAAAACACTAGACAATAGCTATCAGAATCAAGAGTTTTTTCCAAGGACATATGTAATCAAAGCTTATGTTAAAAATAAATAAATATGTAAGTTTTGATGCTGTTCTTACCAAACACATGTGGCTACGAGGCTAGCAAGTTTCCTACTTTACCACTGGAGCATCTTCTCAAAATCCTGAATATATTTTATATTAATCGCCCTCAAAATATTCAAAAATTTCCCCTTGCATCAAACACACTTATCCTATCGATCTTGGCAATGTGTCTTTCATTGTAATAAGTTTTTTTTTTACATATAAATATACACTGTATTTTAAGGTTCCCTGAATTATTTTCCTTCTTTCACTTCATTCCCTCCTCTTTTACACCAGAAGTCATGAGCTAGCTGATGGAGTTCCACAATTTAGGTGGTCTCATTACCATGCCAGCGATGGGCCTCTGACATTTCCCGCACAGCCTCCAGTCGTGCGGTCCTGTCCTCTGATTTGCTTTTCCTCAGAAGCAGCCACAGGGCACACTCATGAGCTTCTACATCAACCGTGCTAAAAGTGTCTTTGGGAAAAAAAAAGACAAACATTCAAAAACAAGACCATGTGAACAGCTGGACATTTTTATTCTACACTTCTATTTCACATAGTAATTTATATAAAATTTTTTTAAAAAGATAGTAATTTATATTCAAAATTCACAAGAAAGTTAAATCCATACACAGGCACTGATGATGAGTGACATGTTTGTTCTTAGCTCTCTCATCTACTCTTAAGTTTTGTGTGTACTTCTGTTTCACATACTAGTTTGGAGACCACTATGCAGCAGCTCTGAGCAGGATTTAAATTTTACTAATTGGCTTTATATGTTTATCTGTGAGTCTGTGCTAGGCCTAGACCCCTTGCCTGGTGATGGGAGCTGATTCATAGTAAGTCAATCTCTATGAATCACTGTTCCTGGCTGAGGTCTGTAGTGGCCTGTGAGGCCAGAGATACTTCAAAGGGCAAGATAAGGCCACAGCTGCGGACACTCTGGCTCCAACCCCAATTAACTAGGTAGAGACTGCAGCTGTAAAGATTACTCCTACAGTCTCACTTCTACCATGCCTTCATGATAAGACAGTGCTACTAAATTGACTTGATTTATGACTTGGAGACGTCCTTGAAGTGACTCCCAAGGTCCTGCTCATTGCCTGCGCTTTCCTCAGTCTCTCTGCCCTTTGTCCATGGTCCTAATATAAGTGGACTGATCTAGAGAAACTTTTGTCTTTACCCTCGAAACCTCGAGCTTAATTAAAGGGTTTTGACCCTACTGGAGCCCTAAAAATCATACAATTTGTCTCTTTTTATTTAACCTCCGCCATACACTCGTTTGGGAGATCGAGGATCTAGGATAGAACCAGATACTATAGTGTCTTTCATTACTTTGTCACTTTTTCCTCTTTCTCTCAAAAAAATTTTATTTTAGAACAGATCAAATATATAAAGGATTGACTATGCCTATCTCATCAGAATTTATTAACTTATTTTGCCATATTTCTTTCACCTATATGAGCTAGTGTGGCAAAGCTGAGAATACAGGCAATTACAAAATTCTGAACACATGCACAGAATAGTTCCCAAAGCCCTGCAAATGGATTTTTTTTTGCAAGAACTGAAGCAGGCTTTCAATAGGAAAGCCTAGAGCTGATGTCAGCCTGAGATGTGGGACCCCAGCACTGCTTCTCAGGATCTTATATAGACTTCTCACAGGTTTCCTCAAGATTATAAAGGACATACACATACCGTGAAGAACTTGCTATCACAGTTTTCTGCAAAGCCCCCGCTGCATCTTCCAGACACAGCATAAACTTTTATTTTTGCTTTTACTCTTTTTCTCTTCAATCAGCCCAAGCTCACTCTGCAGAGCTACTTTCTCTCCCACTCTTACTTTTTGAAATAAAATTACTGACTGCTTTTTTCCTTGTTTTGTTCAATTCTTTGTTTGAGATGAAAAGAACCTAGAATCTACTCCACTGGGAGTGGTGAGAAACCCAAAATTCAATAGTATTTAGTTGATGAGCCATTCTGAAGCAGGCTACCTAACAACATACATGCATGTATGTAAAAACTACTTGAAAGAAAGGTTTACATACACCATTTTATCCTTCCACAATTCAACTGGTATTCCAGAAAAACAAGCTGCATTCTCTTACATAAACAATGCTATTATCCTATCCGAGAACAATGACAAAAACCTTCCAAAGCCATTTTATATTCAGCCTAGCTCCATACCAAAGTTTTTCAAAAATCTCTCCCACCCAGCCCCTTTTTTATTACCTTCATTTAGGCACTAAGGATTAAACCCACAGACACTGTCACTGAGCTATGTGTCCAATCCTTTTAGTTTATAAAACAAGGTCTTGCTAAATTGCTCAAGTGGGACTTTAAGTTGCAATCTTATCTCAGCTTCCCAAATTGCTAGGATGACAGACATGCACAATCATCCCCAAAGTCACAAAAATATCTTTGAAGGGTTTTTTTTGCATTTATTTTATTGGTACATTTTAGATATGTATCAGATAATATTCAAGGAACTGGTACCTGTACATGACATGTCTTGCTGTTTTTTCCCCATTCCCTTCCCTTCAATCCTTCTTCCCCCGTAATTTACAAAAATTATGTTCCTATGTTTCCTCCTATTCTTTTTTCCAGTCCCTTGTTTCCTTTTCCTCTCCCTCTCTTGTTCCCCTTCTCATTTGAACATTTTCCTCCTACTTCTCTATTATACATTTTGGTTTCTCACACCAGTGAAACAATGTGGTATTTAAACAGATGTGTCCCATTTATTTCACTTATGAGTATGGTCTTAAGCTGCATCCATTCAGCTAGAAATTCCTCAAGCTTATCCTTCTTTATGGCATATTAGTACTCCACTGTATAAAAAAAATCACACACCTTAGCCAGGAGTGGTGGTGCATGCCTATAATCCCAGCACTCAGGAGGCTGAGGCAGGAGGATGGTTGCAAGTGCAAAACCAGCCTGTAAGATCCGTTCTCAAAACGCCAAAAACCAAAAGCAAAAACAAATCCCCACATCATCTTTATGCATAGATCCGTTGAAGGGCATTTGGACTGTTTCAAAGATTTAGCTATTACAAACTGTGCCACTATAAACATGGATGTACATATATTGTTGTGGAATGATTTCAATTCTTTTGGGAAGAGAGCAAGAAGGGGAACAGCTGGGTCAAATGGAACCTTTAGTTTTAGTTTCTTGAGGAATCTTAAAAATGTTTTAAAACCAGGATTTGTCCTGGGCATGGTAGCACACACCTATAATCCTAGCACTTGGGAGGTGAAGCCAGAAGGGCACATATTTGAGCCGATCCTGGGCAATTTAGCCAGACTCTATCTCAAAATTTAAAAAGCACTGGAGATGCAGCTCAGTGCAAACACTCTAAGCTCAATCTCCATTATCATCAGAACAAAACAAAAACAAGATTTGTAAACTCTCTTTACTGTCTTTTAATTGTAGAAAGTTTTCCTATCTATTCTTCTTCATGTCAACTTTGAAAAGAGCTAGACATGACAGCACATGCCTGTGATCCTAGTACTTGAGAGGCTGTGGCAAGATTACTGGGATGAATTCAAGGACAGTCTGCGCTACACAGTAAGTTTAACGCCAGCCTGAAGCACATAGCAGACTCTATCTCAAAAAAACAAAAAGCTTTGTAAGGACATCAGGTCAGCTTTTTTAGCACTAACTTCACACTGTAGATTTCCTATTTATAAAATCTACATTTTTGATGCAAGTCTCATTATGAGAAAGCATAGGAGTGGTATTTTTTAACAAGTTAAAATTCTGCAACACTCATCAACAGAATAGGTCACATTTAATCACAATATTTATTTATAACTATTGAACAACAAAGATAAAAATATGCAAATCAGTAAGCCCTTAAAATTAAATATAGCCAAAGAAAATAATGTTAATAAAATTTCCATAGCTATTAAACACATTAATATAATCTGGGCATAATGATACAAGTTTATAATCCCAGTTTGCAACCACAACTTTGGAGAATGAGGCAGGAGGATCACAAATGCAAGGACAGTCAAGGCTAGCCTGGACTAGAGTAGACCCTGTCTCCGTAAAGTCAAATATATACAATTTTTTTAAAAATCCCATTTAAATGACTTCCAGATTATTGATGAAGATTCAAGTTAAATGTTTGATACTTACCAGTAAATGGACTCTGTAATAACTTGGCTGATGCTGCCAATATTTTTCTTACTGCTTTGTGAAGTTCTTTTCTTGCCTGCCAGGCAATCCCTAAAATGATTACAAACTTAAAACCAAACATGCACTCTTAATGCTATGCTGTAATAGTTCAAAAAGAAATGCATAAACTCCAAATTTTTTATAACGAAAAATACAGCATCTTTATCTTTTTATTATCAGGATCAAAGTAACTTAAACCACACGGAAATATAAAGGTCTAACTTTAAAAATAAAATCACTCTTCAAGTCTTTGAAAAAGTAGTACAAAGAACACTAAAGCTATCAAAACTCATGTTTACGATTAATTTTATGTAGGAAAATGACTCTTATAAGTAGACCACCTAGAACTCAAACTTGAAGATACTTTACTAATGAGATTAAGCTTCACTATACAGGTAAACTATAAGATATAGCAATAATTTATGCAAGTCAAACTATAAAAGCACATTATAACAGCATGTTGAAAGGCAGGAAGGTGATAGAATAACAAACAAGATAGTGTAACGATACAGTTCATAGACCTGAAACAATGCAGTCTGCCCTGCAGCCTGCATAATGTGCTCATAGGCACATCCTGGCTGTCAGTGTAGGAACAGGTAGCAGTAAGTCAAGCTGGAGATTCACCAAGCTAACCCACATCTGATGGAAATATACTCCTCTGCTCTAAAGTCATGTTCACCAAGAAACTTGAAGGTTCACATGTGACCTAAATATTGACAAAAGCAATGTCCTAACTAATAAAGACAAGTTTTAAGCTTCTAAAGTTGATAAAAAAATGAACTGGTATTCATTTTACAATCATAATGAGTTTAGTTTGCATGAATAAAGCCCTTGGAGCAAAATATCAAGCAGGCATCGTAGTGTATACCTTTAATCCCAACACTCTGGGAGGATAAGGCAGAAGGATCACAAATTTGAGCCCAGTCTGGGTAACTCTGTGACTTGTTAAAACGCTATCTCAACGTCTACAAAATTTTAAAAGAGCTGGGGGTATAGTTCAGTGCAAAGGCCCTGGGTTCAATCCCTAGCACCTAAAAAAGACAAAAATAAAACTCTGACTTACATGACAAAATCTTATCTTTGTACTTGCCAAACTTGGGCCAGCCTCTGAACTAATGGCTGAAGAGGGAATTCCAGGTTCAGACTCAAACAGCCAGCTAATCTTCACTTCACTCAACTCTCGGAGAACTACAATCTTTGGTCAAATATGTAACTGTAAAATGTGAACTTCAATTACTACTTTAGGAACTGAGTTTAGTTCTGAGTCTGGTGATTCTTAAAGCCTATTTATCTTATTAATGCTGTAACTTAAATATACTCTTTTTTTTTTTTTTTGGAGACAGGGTCTTACTATGTAGTTTAGGCTGGCCTTGAACTTTACTAGTTCAGACAGCCTTGAACTCACAGTAATCCTCCTGACTCAGCTTCCAACATGCTGGGATTACAGGTATATCCCACCATGCTCTGAAAATAGACTCATTTTGAAATTCAGTAACTAGCTTCCAATCTTCACAAAGATGAGGTTACTTTACAATAAACTTACCATGACTTTCTCTTCCGTCTGAAGAACCTGTGTGCACATATATATATGACTTCATTTTTTCTGTTTCTACCACTTGAGTGTCTAATGTCAAAGACTTCTTCAGAGCCAGAATTTCATATGTAAGAAATAAAGATCCTCTTTAAAAAAAAAAAATCATAAATTATGTGATCTAAATATAACACAGGAGCTACTCTTTTTTAAACTTTTCATAGCAAAATTTATTCTTTATTGAAAACAGAGTAATGTGCAAATGACACTGTTTTCATGTGTATGTATATGTACATATCTCAAATTTAAATAATAGTTGCATAATTATGTTCAAAACAGAGTATTAGTGGTATCCCAAAAGCCATCTGTGTTCTTCTCCTTGACCTAACACATTTTTGTCATCCCTACAAGTAATTTTTGTTTTGATTTTTGCTGGTCATGATGGCCCACCCCTGTAATCCTAGCATTCTGGAGGCTGAGGCAGGAGGATTGCCATGAGTCTGAGGCCAGTCTGGGATACACAGCAAGACACTACCTTGAAAAACCAAAAACTGAAAAAAAATTACTTTGTATTTTCAGGTTGAGACATTTTTTACTTAAGCACGTTATTATTTCCAATAGGGTTATAACCAAGTCCTGCTGACAGGGAGCCATGAAAAAAAATTATTGTTCTGATTTTTGTGATTTTGTTTTTTAGTTTTACTACCTCTATATGGAACTTAAACAGAACTCAGTTTTGCCTCTTTTTGAAATTCATATGAATGAAATCACACTGTATATATTTATCAGCCTTCTATTTGTGTGATTTACTATTGCACGCAAGTGTAGTTTCTGCATTTGTATTTTGATATGATACACAACTGCATCAGTCAGATGTAACACACAGTTTACTACATGGATATGAGCATATTCACATACAGTATCTAATTTGAATCTATTATAAACAACATGATTATACATCTTCTATACCCATATTGTGCATACATGCATATGTTCTTCACCTAAAAGCAGAAACTTTCTGATATATCATCTCACTAGATACCAAACTGTATATAGATTTGTACAAATATATAAAGGTTTCCCCTTTTCCTCACAACTATATTCAAAGCCTATTTTAAATATGAAATACAAAGTTTGTTGCATATCCAAATAAAAATTTTTCCTTCCTAATCCAACTGACCAATACTTTGCTAAATCTATACACATGCTGCACTTCATCTGGACCCAAAGCTCATCAGCCTGTGCTGACCTGGTTCCCACCCTACAGCAAGAAAATCCAGACCCAGATACACCAGAGGAATATGGAGAAAGCTCCGAAGAATTCTCTGCTCTCTTGAGGATCCATCTGACCAGGTAAGAGAAGCAAATGTTATTCTATACTTTAATCACACTTTTCAAGAAAGACAAAGTTCTTAACTAAAAGCTGTATGATTTTCCTAACTATAGCTGTAATCTAAACAAAGGAACTACATTACAGAAAAGGGTATGCATTTATCCTTTGCTCAGAATGAGTCAAAGGAAAAAAAACTATCTCGGTATCTGTCACATCCATAAAGTATACTTCTTTATTGCTTTTAGATTAGTGAAACAAGTACACTACAGTATTATACAAACATTCAACAATATGGAAAGGGCTACACCAGCCATTGTACATGTGCCTCCAAGGGAGCATACGCTGGCAGAGACGAATCTGTTAGTCTTCTCGGTTGACCTAAACTTCCTTTCTTGGGAGCTTTAGGGCAGTTTCAGGCATTTTCTTTTTATTATTAATAATATACAGTGCTTACATAGAATAACAGGAATATGCATATAACATAGTTTGATAATTTCTACCAAACCATCATCCTGATTTTAGGGTTTTCAAAAATAATTTTTTAATTAAAAAAAACTTTATATATCTCAAAAAAAATTTTACTAATCAATTTCTAGCCTCTTCACCCACTTTAGGATCTAATATGAAGTGTTAAGAGTACAGAGCTTAGGGGCTGGGGATTTAGCTCAGCGGCATAAGTGCCTTGCCTTGCAAGTGTGTGGTCATGAGTTCGATCCTCGGTACCGATAAAAAAAAAAAAAAGAGTACAGAGCTTGGAAGAGTGACAGTGTGTGTGTCAAGAGCTCTCCTCACATCTACAATGCCAGCCAGGCAGAAACTCTAGTGTACAACTGGACCCAAGAGAAAATATCCCCCAGGCAACAGAGTACAGTAACTAAAGGTAACATTGAAGTGGTAAAACTGAAGTGATTAAATCATTTCCACTGACATTTCAAAGAGTAATATAATAAAGCCGACTAGTATTTACAGTTGACACTTACCCTAAAATAAGTGATCCAGTAAATTTTATTATATTTCCTTCAAAAAGAAAAGGAAAACATCAATGTAATGAATTTCACTTTTTTTTTTTTTTTTTTTTTTTTTTGTCTTTTTCGTTTTTATCGGTACCAGGGATCGAACTCACGACTGCCTGCTTTCAAGGCAGGTGCTTATGCCGCTGAGCTAAATCCCCAGCCCCTGAATTTCACTTTTTAAAGTGTGAATCTCTACCTATTTTGTATATACTAACTGGGTAAGTTTACTGTTATGTTTCTATTTACATAATTAGTTGGTATCAACACACGACTTCTCATCCTAAGATACAAACCAATCAATAAGCACTAGATGCAAAAATAAAATTTAAATGTGTAGCTTTTCATACTCATTCTCTCCTTTCTCCACCTCCTGTTCTACTATCCCCACCAAATCACCAGGGACCCCAAACCCTATCCCACTGCTGAAATGGCCAGGACTACAGGCTTCCAGCGATCACAACTTCCAGGGAGTTCACCTCCCTTTTCATTCCTTTTAGTTATGAACTATTAAAATAAAGAACAGGAGAGAATTTTCCCTCGCATAAGTAGTACTACACTGAGGGATTAGATTTGTCAAGTGGTAACATAAAATGCTAATTCCCGAAGTAATTATGCTGTAATTGGTGATTAAGTGCCAATAGTAGCTCGCTTAAAATATACAAGTTTATAGTAAGTCCCTGATTTACAAATGAGTTCTGTTCCAGAATGTTCATTAGATTCATTTATAAGCCTGACAAAGTTAGCCTTACACACTGCTTGTTCTGGCAGATGATATGAAAAGAAAAATTCCCCTTTCTGTTCCCACTTTTCTTTTTCTATTTTAAATACAGAGTCAGAATTTCCTAGATAAATAGCATCTATCTTAAAAATAGACCTGTTTTAAAAATCAAAAGGAAACTCCACAAAGATGGGGGAGCTTACTTAATGTTGTATCCTGGGGACTGAGAAAACTATTTACTATATGGTTGATGGCTGATAAACATAGCTTACTGTCAAATAAATGAAAGATGAGCTAATCCAGTCTTCTCATTTTACAAATAAACAATGGTCAGAGAAGGCAAGATATTTCTTCCATTCAAAAAAAAGAAAACACTAGACGAACACCCTCTATATGCCACATAGAATAGTAAATAGGATATAACGATAAACAAGTAACTACCCTCACACAGTTTACAGTCTATGAAAGAAGTCAGGTAATTAAACAAGTTCAATACTCATTCTCCCGAATGCTAAGGAGCAGATTAAAGTTGGCCTAGGATGTCAGGAAAGCCTGGCTACAGACACTAGGGGAGGCAGGAGTTAAAGCAGACCCGAAGTCACAGTAAGGTAAGGGCTGCTTTCCTTGCTCACCGCTGTATTTCCAGAACCTAATAAAGGTGCTGGCACCACAGGTTTGAGAGTGTTTGCTCATTTGTTATTTCCCTTTTTGAGTGCAAGCTGGTCTTGAACTCACTATGTAGCCCACACTGATCTTAAACTTGCAGCAATTCTCCTGCCTCAGCCTCCCAAGTGCTGAGATTACAGATGTATAACACTGTGTTCAACTGACACCTTAAGAGCTTAATAACTATCTGCTAACTAAGAAAACAGTGGTATCTTGGTTTAGAAGGATAAGTACAAATTTGACAGGAAAAATAAAGGAGGAAAGAGAATCCCCAAGAAAAATGATCATATTTGGTTCTGGGCTTACAAATTTGAGATGGACCATTAGTACAGAAAGACATAAATCTGAGACTTTTCATGATTTTAAACATTTTTGTGGCCTACTCTGGAAAACTAGCCATAACGTCATCACTATTTATAAAAAACAAAATAAATAAAAAACTGTTGCTTGTACTCACGGATATCTCTCCAGTATGTACGCCTTTTTGGTGAGGGCATAGAGGTTCCTAGTCTTCTGCAACAGATGACACAATAAGCCAAGGACATTCTATATAAGTAGAACAATTACAACAAATTTAATTTAGTATCAAATTGCTACCACTTTTAAAATTATTAGAACATACTACTATCACAGTAGACTGCCTACAGAGTTCAAATTTTCAAGACATGGAAAAAAATCTTTTCTATTAAAAAATGTTTCACTCTTAAAAACAGATTTACTAGCATAAATTTTGCTAGTGCTTTATTCTTCAAATTGTGTCCAATTTTGAGTAGTGATTAACAGGAAACCAGAAAAGTAAGAATGAGAATTTTTAAAATGTTTTTAAGAATACAAACAAGGAGTGATCGAAATACTTGACTGTTTAAATGTTTAAAATTTACTACACTAAGACATATCACATTTGCATCCCTTGAACTATCCCTCTTTGATCATTCTTAACACTTTCTGAAGCAGTTGTGGAAGTCCTCTTTCTCAAGTGTCTTTATGACATGTGATTAAAAAAAAAACATTCAACAAACGGTGCTACTGAGTGCCATCCAACAGAAAGACAGACTCATAAAAACACTGTGGTAAGACCTCATCTACCTGATTCAGTGGGTCTGACACTGCATATTCTGGGTCTTTCCCAAAGTCAAAATGACCACAAAGGCAAATGTTTTGAATCAATTCATGGTCGAGATACCCACAACACTACAGCTAAAGACACTGTAGAAAGAGGACTTACAGAACTGCTTCGAAATGCAGCAACAATGGCATAGGCATGTTCAAAGCAAAGAACGGTATTCTGAGAGGGGCTAATGGGCCGAGTATCTCTTACTGTGATACATGTTTTTACAATTTAGACTTTTACTGTGTTATCAGACCCTATGTGTATATATAATGCACATTTATCTTGACGACTAAAGGCCCCACACAAATGAAAACCAGCTCTGCATAGAAGACATATTTAGACAATCCACAGAATTATTTAGCTTTTCTCTAGCTTCTTAAAGAGCGTATCCCAACTCTCTCTCTCTTTCTTTCTCCTGAGACAGGGTCTTGCTGTGTAGTTCAGTTTGGGCTTCAGTTCAGCCTCTCGAGTGCCAGGATTGTAGGCATGGGTCAGCACCAACATTCTTTAAAAGCTTTGAAACAGCTGGTATGCTACCAAAGAACAACTACTGCTGACTTATTTACCAACTACACCAAAATGATCAAAATATAATGAAAGCTTCTACAGCAACTTGATATTCTAGAACCATATTAGACTGTCTCTGGAAATTTAAACTTTTTTTTCTTCATTTTGCTAAAAGGGTAGAAAGAAGATGCCTTGAGGAAATGGTTCTTCGGGTCAACATATTAAAAACTGCTAGCAGCTTTATAGGGATTAGAGGAAAATCACTTGGTGTACACAAACAAACATCTGTTAGAGGTAATACAAAACAAAAAGACTTCAAGCTGTTTCTTAACTGTGATTCCATCGTGTCAACTGGTGGCTAAGCAAACCAAATCTGGCAAAAGGTATAGGAGGAAAGGTTCTTTTTGAAAGGACACTGTATCTTATTTTCCACTTGTCTAATGGATTGTTGTCACTTTCCTGTGAGACTTAAATAGTGGTAAAAATATAAAAACTTTAATAATATGTGCTTACAAAACCAAACAAAGCTTGGGTGAGCTGTAATTTCAGGATTTGGGAGGTTGAGGCAAGAGATCAATGTGAGTTCAAGGCCAGCTTGCATAATACAATGAGCCCTGTCTCAAAGACAAAAACAAAACAACAAAGCTTGAACACCAACCAACTTGTATTTTACTTAATGAATGTTTTGATCTTGATACCTACTATAAAAAATTATACAAACATCCTTTATGATTATTTTTCTCCCTTTCTAGCTACTACTGACACTGTCTTTTCTTATTCTCACATCTTTGGTTACTTTTTCTCAATCATTCAACAAACATTTATTGAGCACCAACTACCTATTACAGACAGGAATGTGAGACGTGAATGTTGAGCCCCTGCACTCACTGACCTTACTGAATGGGTTTATGGGTGGCCTCCACTCAGTTTTTAAATACTAATGCTGCAGGTGGCACATGTCCACAATCCCAGCTCAGGGAACCTGAAGCAGGAGGACTGAAAATTTAATCCGAGCATAGGCAACTTGGTGACTTAGTAAGATCCTGTATTAAAAAAAAAAGCTAAGATTTGGGCTGGGGATTTATCTCAGCAGCATAAGTACCTGCCTTGCAAGCAGGCGGTCATGAGTTCGATCCCCGGTACCAATAAAAAGGAAAAAGAAAAAAAAAAAAAAAAGCTGGGACTTCGGAGAACATGGCGGACAGATAGCAGCAGCTATGGAGGCTCTCTGAAACACCCAGCTTAGAATTCAGGAATGGTGCGGAGTAAGGAATCATAAGCAAGTGGAGATATGCCCTGCTGACCCAAGAACTAACTGGGCTGAGAGAAACCACCTGGGAATGCAATCCTGGTGCTATAACAGGAACAGAAAAGCCTCAGTGTGGAAGCTGGAGCCTGCGCCATTGGAAGCCGTGATTTGGGTTTCCCGTCGCCACTGCTGTGTCTACATTGGCTCCGCAGGGAGAGAGACGAGCGAAAGCTCTGAGAACGGGAATCGAATGGAGTTGAAAGCAGGACGGGCGGGGAGCTGTGCATTGACCTGTGGTGAGTGAGAGAAACTGGGACTCTTCCACGGTCTAGGAGACTCCAACAGATGACATTCTGGGACCGGGCAGACTTGCGGGAACAGGGTGCTGTAGTGACTTCAGTCATGTATCCCCTTCTCAAGCAGGATTGGTAAGCAGTGCCTAGTCTACCTGACGCTGCTGGCTGAGACACAGTAGGCTAGCACAACCCAGGTCCCAGTGCCTGAAGGTAGGTTGACCTGGAGAGGCAGGCCCCGCATAGGCTGCCTGGTCTGCAACTTCCTGGTGCACTGCGGTAGGTGGGAAAACCTAGCCAGCACAATTCAATCAGACTGGCTGACAGGGAAGGAAACTGGGCCTCCTATATATGCTTGCATATATAAGGAACAAAGAACATGGGAAGAGGGAGCAACAAGAAAGGGTCCTCGGCCCCCAATCCTGAGAAACATGCAATAGCAGACACAGCACCAATAGATATAAAGTGCTATCTCCAGAGCCTCATAGACAAGTTCAGGAATGAAGTTATTAATGACCTGAAGCTAGACATAAGCAGAATAGTTAGAGAAATGTTAAGCACCACCCAAGAAAAAACAGATGGTGGAATGGAAGAACAGAAAAAGAGGGGAGAATTGTTTGATGGAGAAAATAGAGAAAGCATAGAATACATGAAGCAGGTTCAAAGAGACTACCAGGAAACTAAAAACTATCGAAAACTGGCATAACAGCTTGAAAGAAACTAAGGACAGATTATCTGAACTGGAGGGCAGATTTGTAATATGGGAGCATGAAATGAAAAACTTCTTAAAAATAACAAAGAAACAAACAGCAATAATACAAAGACTAAAAGATGATAAGAGGTTCTATAACTTAAGAATTAAGAACATAAAAGAAGAAGTAGAGACACACACAAATGAACTACAAAAGCTACTCACCAAAATAATCCAGGAGAATTTTCTTAACTTAGCAAAAGGTAAAGATACTCAGTTGTATGAAGCATACAGGACCCCAGCCACGTACAACCCAAACAGAGCTACACCCAGGCATATAATAATAAAAATTCCAGAAATCCAATACAAGAACAGAATACTAAAAGCTGTCAGAGACAAGAAACAGATCACTTACAAGGGAACACCCACCAGAATTACAGCAGATTTCTCGGCACAAACCATCAAATCACGAACAGCGTGGGGGGAAATAATTCAAGCTTTGAAAGATAATAATCTCCAGCCAAGATTGATATATCCTGCACAACTATCCCTGGAAACTGATGGAAAAACAAGGTGCTTCCAGGATAAAGAGGAACTAGGGGAATATGCAACCACCAATTCAACTCTACAGTGAATACTGCAGGATATTCTAAAAAAGAAAAATACAAAGAATCCAGAAATAGTGGCAGAGAGGCCACAATGAATGGACCAGAAAACAAAATGAAGACAAACTGACAGCTAATGACAGAAAAAGAGCTCAACAGAAATGAGGCAGAGAAGGTTGGATGATAGGAACAGCTATTTTGGAGAAAATGATGTCATAATAGGTAATACTGATTTAGTATCATCTTGTTTTGAAGTCTCATCAAGCTTTTGTTCTTCTTTCTCCATTGGTCTAAACAGGTTGTATCTTATTGGATTTTATTATATGTGATAGTATAAACAAAAACTTTTATAGACAAGGAGATTATACAGAAACCATTGTTCATTTTCTGTTAGTTGATTCTAAATACCCTGTAATACTGTCACCCTCTTAAATGGTTTTACATTGTTTTGATATATTTGATGCTACAGTATACGAAGTTATACTCAAAGATTTCAAGGAAAGAGACAATATGGTAACTACTTTTATGTTGGAATTATCTTGTGGTGAAACACTATTTTGCTTAAATGGTTATGTTTTTTTCTGCGCTGTTTTGCTGTTATGCCCTCTTTTATCTCAATCTCCATTTTGTTATTTACTTTTTTATTTTTATCCTTTTAATTAAGGGAAAAATAAATTTTAAAATAGCAGGATATATTATAGTAACCCACTTTAACTTCCCATTATCTTGATTTAAAGTCCTGTATTGCTCTCATCATCTTTTTTTGACTGATGTTCCTCTATTCTGTTTTGCTTGATAGTACCAGGTTTGAAAGTTTAGGCAACAGCTATGAAGATAGTGGGATTCATTATGACGCCCATTCTGGTTGACTCTTATCTACTTTTGAAGACCTATAATGTCTCCAATGTTTTGGTTTTGTTGGTTTCGTTCTTTACTATTTTGTTCAATTTTATTATAACTGATAATATAGGCAATTCTATTACAGATAGCGGGAGGCATCATGGTAACCATTGTGGATCATTTTATATTATGCTTTTACATTATTATGTCCACCCTTTTGATTTGACTGACTCTGTTCTGTTATGTCACA